CTGCTACCCTTCCCAGCCTTTGGTAATCATCATTCTACTCTCTGTCTTTATGAGAGCAATTGTTTTATTTTTTTTTCCCATATGAGTGAGAACATGCAAGATTTATCTTTCTGTGCTTGGCTTATTTCACTTAACATAAAGTTTTCCAGTTTCATCCATGTTGCTGAAAATGGTAGGATTTCATTCTTTTTTATGGCTATATAATATTTCATTGTATGTATGTGCTACAATTTCTTTATCCATTCATCCATTGATGAACATTTAAGTTGATTCCAAATCTTAGCTATTATAGGGTGCTGCAGTAAACATGGGAGTGTAGGTATATTTTTGATAATATTAATTTCCTTTCTTTTGGATATGTAACTAGCAGTGGAATTGCTGGGTCATATGGTAGTTCTATTTTCAGGTTTTTGAGGAATCGCCATACTATATGGATAGTGGGTACACTAATTTACATTCCCACCAACAGTGTACAAGGATTTGCCTTTTTCCATGAACTCACCAGCATTTGTTATTATTATCTGTCTTTTTGATAAAAGCCATTTTAACTTGTGTGAGATGGTAGCTCGTTGTAGTTTTGATTTGCATTTCTCTGATGATTAGTGATGCTGAGCATTTTTTTCACATACTTGTTGGGCATTTGTATGTTTTCTTTTGAGAAATGTCCATTCACATCTTTTGCCCATTTTTTAATCGGATTGTTTGATTTTTTTCCTGTTGAGTTGTTGGAGCTCCTTATATAGTCTGGTTATTAATCCCTTGTCAAATAGGTAGTTTCAAAATACTTAAAACCTTCTCCCATACTATGAGTTGTCTCTTCACTTTGTTGCCTGTTTCCTTTTCTGTGCAGAAGCTTTTTAACTGGATGTGATCCCATTGTCCAATTCTGCTTTGGTTGCCTGTGCCTTGAGGGTATTACTCAAAAAGTTCTTGCCCAGGCCAGTGTCCTGAAGCATTTCCCCAGTGTTTTCTTTTAGTATTTTCATAGTTGTAGGTCTTAAACATATGTCTTTAATCCATTTTGATTTGATTTTTGTATCTGGCAAGAGATAAGGGTCTAGTTTCATTCTTCTGCATATGAATATTCAGTTTTCCCAGCACCATTTATTAAAGAGACTGTCTTTTCCCCACTTTATGTTCTTGGCCACTTTGTTGAAGGTAAATTCACTATAGATGTGTGGATTTATTTCTGGATTCTCTATTCTGTTTCATTGATCTACGAGTCTGTTTTTATGCCAGTATCATGCTGTTTATCATACTATAGGTCTGTAGTATAATTTGAAGTCAGGTAATGTGATTCTTCCAGTTTTGTTCTTCTTGCTCAGGATAGTTTTGGCTATTGTGGGTCTTTTGTGGTTCCATATAAATTTTAGGATTTTTTTCCTATGTCTGTGAAGAATATCATTGGTATTTTGATGGAGATTACATTGCATCTACAGATTGCTTTGTCTAATATGGACATTTTAACAATATTGATTTTTTTCCAATCTGTGAACATGGAATACCTTTCCCCTTTTTGTGTCTTCTTCAGTTTCTTTCATCAATGTTTTATAGATTCTGTTGTGGAGATCTTTTACTTCTTTGGTTAA